AAAAGTTTATATCACATTATGAAGGTGAAAATATGAATCAAATTTTATCTAATTTAATAGAAGAAGAAAAAGAACATATTTTAGTTATGCATGATGAATGTATTTTTTATTCTAATGATGGGTAACGTGATGTTTAGACTAAAGATGATGACTTGTCTTTATAAAAAAAAGATAATGGTAGATCAATTATGGTTAGTGAATTTCTAATAAAATTGATGAACGTTTGAAATTAAAACTATTAGATATTAAACAGTATCCTATGGTTTCAATAGAAGCGCGTAAATATTTAGAATTAGGCAAAGATCATGAAGGTTATTGGATAGTAGAACATCTTCTTAAACAAATAAAAACTAAAGTAATTCCTATTTTTGAAACTCTTTATCCAAATTATATTAGAGTTTTTGCATTTGATAATAGTTCAAATCATGCCGCATTTGTAAAAGATGAATTAATAGTAGGAAGAATGAATTTAAATTCTGGTGATTCACAATTTAAAATACATAATACATATTGGGATCCTAATAATCAATTTCAGTCAATAGTGTTTTTTAATAATCATCCAAATGAAAAATTTCGAGGTCAACTAAAAGGATTAAAACAAATATTACAAAAAAGAGGAAAATGGTCTAATAAGGATTATTATTAGAATGTAAAGGATATAAAAAAAAAATATGATAACAATTAAATTAATTATTGTGCATGTAAAATAATGTCTTTATAATCAGATTTTCTTATTCAAAAGAATGCAATTGCTAAAATTATTGAAAGAGCAGATCATAAGTGTATTTTTTATCCAAAATTTTATTATGAACTCAATTTTATTGAGTGTTATTGGGGAGCTGCAAAAAAACATGCAAGAGAAAATTTTAATTATTCATGGATAGGATTAAAAAAGATTGTGCCTCAAAATCTAAAATCAGTTTCATTAATTACAATTAGAAGATTTGCAAGAAAAGCTTGGTGTTATATGAATTTATATAAAGAAGGAATTAGTGAAAAGTTAGCTGAATATGTAGTTAAAAAGTATTGATCTCATAGAAGAATTCCTGATGAAATTTTATAAGAATTAAATAAAGTCAAATTTGTTTAATTTTATATATTATATGTTATTATAAATTTTTAACCAATAAAAATCATTTCACATGATTTATGTTAACTAATAAAAAAATTTCACGTGATTTTAATTATATTTTAAAATTCAGATTAAAAAAAAATTTGATGATTATAGATACGTCGCACTATATGCCAATTGGTAATAAATATGCCAATCAGCTATAAATAAGATAGGTTAAATTTTAGCTGATTCTTAGCTGATTTTTAGTTTATACTAATTGGCTAGACTGATTTTTGATAATTTTTGAATTTAGGTTGAATTTAAGCTGATTTTTCGTATGTCTGATTTTTTTGATTTTGACTAGTATTTAGTTTAACAAGAATTTTTAAGATATTTCTTATGCTATGTTTGCCTTTTAATAAACCTACAATTTTTTTACACTTAAAAGATATAATCTTGTGAATTTTTAGAATTTTATGTATTGAAATAATTATTTATAAAAAAATTTTTTTATTTAAAAAGCAAAGCTATGAAATTCTAAAAAAATAAGAATAAAATATTTAGTTAAAAATTAGGCATATTATTATTATTTAAAGATCAGCAATAAACAGTTAAATTTATGCAATATTACAATTATTTAGATACTTTTGTCCTATATATGTATATTTTAATTAATTATTTTAATATATAATTATTTTTTGTTTAATTATTTTTATTAAAAAAACTATTAAATTTTAACATAATATATTTAAAATAATATTTTATTATATATAATTATACAATGCATGATGAAAGTTTTCAAAATAAAATTCCTGCAATATGTAATCTATTAAATAACTATTTTATGTGATATCATTTCATTAGCTATTTTTAGATATTATGTAATGAAAAGGTGTTAGATCTTTCAACAGGACAATGATCCTAAACACACGGTTAAGAAAATTAAAAAAATTCTTTCTAAACAATATCTGAAGCTATTAGATTGGCAATTAAATAGCTCAGATTTAAATCTAATTGAGAATTTGTGGTCAATTTTGAAGGAACGTGTGAAAAAAAAGGTCAATAATTTTGTAATTAATAAAAAATCAATTACTATAGATCTTTTATTGATATAATTAAAAAAGAGTAGAAGGGAATCAAGCCTGAAATTCTTCTTAATTTAGTTCATAGCATGCCAAAATGATTGAAACAAATAATTGAGAAGGATGGCAATAAACTAAGCTATTGACTTAGCTTAATATTTTTTTCATTATAAAATAAAATATATAATTTTAAATTTTCAAGTATTTTCGAGTTATTTTTAAAGTATAATAAATAAAAACGTAATTCTAAAAACTTTTATCATACACTGTATATATACAGTCTTCAGCAAAAAGAATGTTAATACAATCTTTTACTATATAATTAACTTTTTTTGAAAGGATTTGTATAAATAATTACATAGTATTTTATATGTATTACTAGTCTAAATGGTATATATATTATTTGAAGTTTGCAATGTATATTTCAATATAAATAAAATTTTTGCAATTAGAAAATAAGATCAAATTTGAGTATTTGATTATTATAATTAAGATTACAAAATATTTTACTATGTTAATGAGCTTCACCACTAATAAAAAAATGTTTAGCTAAAAGTTTATAATAAAAATAATATATTCTAACTAAAAAAGTAAAAAATAGAAAACATGAAGTTAAATTATTATGAAGGAAGGATAGCTTCCTAATTTTTTAGTATTTTAATTTGTATTTAAATTCAGATTGTCAAAGAAAAAGAATACTTTTTATATTTTAATTTTTTGAATGTATAATTTCTTAATTAAAAGCATTTGAGAATAAAAAAATTTTGAAAGTTATTTATTAAAAACTTTTATTATTTAAAAAAACTTTTCACTATTCTTTTTGTTAGGGACTGTATAATTTTAATAATATTAAAATTTTAAAAAATATAAATTATTATATATATTAAAATTAAAATATGATATATTATTACATAAAAGAAGACATGGATGATGATGATTTAAAGAATGACATTGATCCTTAGGAAATTATATATGTCTTCTATATCATCTATGTTATCTATAGCATTTATTTCTTTTATACAATATATTTCTTTTATTTATTTTATTTTATTTATCTCATATATTTATTATATTTTATTTTATTTCATATATTTTATTTCATATATTTATTTCTTTTATATCTTTGATAACTTTATATTTTTCATTTTATATAAATAGAGAATAATTTCTTTTAATTTAGCAATGTGTCTGATTTATAGTTTTATATAATAGTTTAGTTTAATCCTTCTAATATAATTATATAGTACAGAGCACTGACTGAGGCAGTACTCCATTGTTATAGTTATTAAATAAACTGTTAATTTACTGACACTTTTCTAAATCTAATTATCAAATTAAACCTTCTGCTTATTACCCATAAATATTGCTTCGCTTATAACTTAAAGAATTGACTATAAAAATATTAAATTGAAAAGTATAATAATATATAAATTTATATTTTACAATAAATTATATAAAATTATTAAAAAATATATATAGATACTTTATAATAGTATTAGTTTTAGCTATTTAACTAAGGTTAATTATTAGTCATTTAACTAATTTGATTAACAAAATGGTTAAAAATTCTTAATTACATTTAAATATAATATATTTATTTATACTTAATTATTTAATTAAAATTTGAATATTTAGTTATTTTAACTATTAATTATAACCAAATATCTCTTAATTATAACCAAATGTTACAATTGAAAAAAAGAAAATTTTAAATTATTTTTTTTTAAATTAAAGTTAAATTTAAATTTATTTTATTAAAAAATTATATTTAGTTTATAAAGTTAAAATATTTTTTGATAATTTTCTTTTTTCTGTTATAAAATATCCATTTATTATATTAATAATTTTAATTATAATAATATAAATTTAATATAAAAAATATTAAAAAAAATAAAAAACAATTAATTATAATTTAATAATAAAAAAAATATATATAATTAATTAATATTATTTAAACCTATATACTAATATTATATTTTTTTTTTATTTTTAATAATTCTAATACAGTCAACTCTTGATATAGTGAACTCTTGATATAATGAATTTTTTAAACAATTATAATAAAAATACTCTTGTTATAGCGAATTAGCCAATCAAATCTCTTAAAATCTTCACTATAGCCTTATAGCGAAATTGAGGTCTAAGACATAGAGTTCGTTATAACAAGAATTGACTGTATTTATTATAGTTTAAAATTATTTTAAATAGTAAGTATAAAATTTATTTATAAATATTTTATAAAAATTAATATATTTTAATATCTAAAAGTTGAAATAATTTCATTTAAATTATCATATTAAATGAATTTAATAATAGTATTTTAATAATAATTATCAATATATAGATCAAGAATTTTTTATTGATTTACTTTGCTAATAAAATTACTCAAAATTTGTAGATTTTCCCCTTTTTTTATTGATCACCCCCATATATAATTTTTCAATTTTTTAATTTTAAAAGTAATTTAATAAAAAAAATGAAAATTTAATTTGTTATATTGCATTTTATAAGATTTGTAAATAATAGTATTTTATATTTTTGAGATTAATAAATAATAAATTTAAAAATTCATAATAATTTATTATATATTTATCTTTTAAAAATCACTAATTAATTCCATTTTTATTTTTTTAAGTTTTACTTAAAATATATCATAAAATTTATTATAAAAGTATTAACTTTTTTAATTTAAATAAAGTTGCAGGCAAATTTATAAGCAAAATTATTAAAGGAATAATAAATTAATTAATTTAATATAAATAATAAGGTAAAAAAATTCAATATATTTTTATTGTTATCATTTATTTCTTAATTAATCCTAAAAAAAATTACAAGCAAAACTTATTTAATAACTAATACTAATATCAATTTAATGATTGTAATTTTTTCAACATTCTTTCAGCAGTAGCATCTTTTTCTTCTTTAGAAGGGTTTGTAGATGGCCATGTAATACCTAAACCTTCTTTATCATTAGGTTTAGGGATCTTTACAAAAAAATAACATTATTATTATTAAACAAGAAAATTCAAGATTTAGAATGAAATATTTGTACTTACAATATGAAAATGTACATGTTCTACAACCTAATATTTTTCGTGATTGTGATAAATTTTAATGAATGAATAATAATTTTTTTCCGAAAATAATAATAATACATTATTACCTGATGAGCGAGTGGTCCATTGTTCTTTTATTTTTTTTTATTTTAAAAAAAAAGTTTAATGTATATTTTTAATATCATTTTAAAAGTAAATAAACGTTACCTGTAAAAGATTATATTGGTCCGCCCCAGTAGCAATAGCAACTTTTTTTGCTACTGGTAATATATCAGCTAAATTTTCATCAGGTAATTCATGTAAAAATTTAGCATGATCTGTATATATTTAGAAAGGTTCTTACATTAAAAATTTTCGTTTGGAAGAATAAAAAAAAAGAATTGAATAACTTACATTTTGGGATTACAAGCTGAAAGAGAGGAAAAGAAAACTCAATTAAAAGATATCATGTAAATAGTAATCGATAAATAATATTATTACCGTATGTCCTTCAGATAATGGTCCAGTATCCAAGAAAGCATAACTTTTTTTTTAAAACAAAAATTTATTCAAATTCTTTATTAAAAATTAATAATAAGTATTAGCTTTACCTTAGAGCAGTTTCAAAGATTTTATAAGAAGGAATTTCACGATCAATAATTTTACAAAAAATACAAATTTTAGACATCGTTACATGAAAATTTTTTTTTTATTTTTTTTTTTTTATCTTATCATGTAATATGACAAAACTTTCCGATAAACAAAGTCTGTGTTTTTAAATTCTAACCCTAAATTCTCCGTCACCATTAAAAATAGAAAAATTTTAAAATTATTTCAAGGGAAGGGTCCGGAATCTACCGTTTTTTTACAAAAATGGAGATATTGAGATCCCTTTAATGTATTACCATGTGGTTATGTACATCAATTATTAATAGTATACATAAATTTATCGCCCTATAACGATTTCTTTTTTAATTTCTCTTTTATTATTAAATCATGTCTGTGAAATTACTTTCAGTATTTTCTAATGATATTATTAACTTACTTGACAATTCTGAAGAATTCAATGTTGTTATTTACGTTGGAGGAGAACATGATCAAAAAGTTTTTCAGGCTCACTCTTTAATTCTTCGTGCAAGGTCTTCTTATTTTCGTACAGCTCTTTCTAAACAATGGGCTAGAAAAGAAGGTGATGATAATGTTCTCAGGCAACCAAACATTTCTCCCAAAGTCTTTGAAATTATACTCGAGTAAGTTATAGAGCATATATACATATAAATATTTATTTTTTTTAAAAAAAATAAATAAATAAACATATATATGTTATAATTAATTTTCACTTTCACCCTTAGTTATATATATAGTGGAACGATTACATTATTTGATCGAGATATTATGGAGATATTGGAGATATTAGCAGCAGCCGATGAATTATTATTAAAGGATTTATTGGATTATATTCAAGATCATTTGGTGGAGACGAAAAATGATTGGATAAGTTCTTATATTTTAAAAATTTATCAAACAAGTTTAGCTCATGATTCATGCGAAAAATTGAGAGAATTTATTTTAGCAACTATATCATCAGATCCAGAATTATTATTTAAATCACCAGATTTTCTTTCATTAGATGAATCTTTACTTGTGCCAATATTAAAAAGGGATGATTTAGATATGGCAGAAGATGAAGTATGGGATCAAGTTATTAAATGGGGATTAGCACAAAATCCTTCATTTGATGTGAACTTGAGAGAATGGGGTGCAGAAGAATTTCAAGCATTAGCATTAACATTACAAGAATGTATACATTTGGTTAGATTTTTCCAAATGAGTTCAAGTGAT